GATTTATTGAACAATCATAAACAGAAGGTGATAGTTGTGCTTTTAAAATGCTAATCTAACCTACATACATAAATACAGACTTACGTCTGTCCTACATAAACAGTGTTCGAGGTATCTTTTACATAGTGTGCAATGACAGGAGTCTGTGACGGCAGAAGCCTTAGTAACATAACTTGTTACTAACTGTTGATAACCCCCCCTCCCATCCTATCTCCGCTCTCCCTCCCTGCCTCACCCCAAATAAAATGTCCTTGCCCAGAGGGTAAGAAAAAACCTTAGGAATGTGCTACTTACCTTGGCTGTTGGTGGGCCCAGACGCCTGAGGTGTCTACTGTAGCCTCAGACAGGAGACCTGCAAAATATTTAACTAGTTTGTTTCTTAATGCTCCCTAAACACGACGCGGTTGACAAGACAACTTGGGGCTTGAGCAATATCCTCTCTACCGCCCCCTTAATTTTTTTTATTTAATTTCATTATTATGCACACCATAACCATCCCGTGGGCGGTGGTGGAAATGGTTGAAGAGCGACATAAAGGGTTGACGAACTAAACCCCATAGTTTGTTTAGCTAAGCAAGTGACAATCTTGTGAAGATAGTTTCACAGTAGTTAATATTTCATACACACGTGTATATATATATATATATATATATATATATATATATATATATATATATATATATATATATATATATGTCGTACCTAGTAGCCAGAACTCACTTCTCAGCCTACTATGCAAGGCCCGATTTGCCTAATAAGCCAAGTTTTCATGAATTAATTGTTTTTCGACTACCTAACCTACCTAACCTAACCTAACCTAACTTTTTCGGCTACCTAACCTAACCTAACCTATAGAGATAGGTTAGGTTAGGTTAGGTAGGGTTGGTTAGGTTCGGTCATATATCTACGTTAATTTTAACTCCAATAAAAAAAAATTTACCTCATACATAATGAAATGGGTAGCTTTATCATTTCATAAGAAAAAAAATTGAGGAAATATATTAATTCAGGAAAACTTGGCTTATTAGGCAAATTGGGCCTTGCATAGTAGTCCAAAAAGTGCGTTCTGGCTACTAGGTACGACATATATATATATATATATATATATGTCGTACCTAGTAGCCAGAACGCACTTCTCAGCCTACTATGCAAGGCCCGATTTGCCTAATAAGCCAAATTTTCATGAATTAATTGTTTTTCGACTACCTAACCTACCTAACCTAACCTAACCTAACTTTTTCGGCTACCTAACCTAACCTAACCTATAAAGATAGGTTAGGCTAGGTTAGGTAGGGTTGGTTAGGTTTGGTCATATATCTACGTTAATTTTAACTCCAATAAAAAAAAAATTGACCTCATACATAATGAAATGGTTAGCTTTATCATTTCATAAGAAAAAAATTATAGAAAAACGATTAATTCACGAAAACTTGGCTTATTAGGCAAATCGGGCCTTGCATAGTAGGCTGAGAAGTGCGTTCTGGCTACTAGGTACGACATATATATATATATATATATATATATATATATATATATATATATATATATATATATATATATATATATATATATATATATATATATATATATATATATATATATATATATTAGTATATTTTGGTATATATATTCTCACTATGCTATGATTTAAACAGCTTTCATTTTTCATTTCTAGATGTAACAGTCTTGGAAAGAAGCGGAGGTTTCCACACTGCAGTCTACACTAAGGAAACAAACATGGGAATGTGCCTAAATGCCAACAGTGACTGCCCAGACAGGTACAAGAGGTGTGTTGTTAACGCTTATGTCGACCGCGCTCTCAGCCACAGTTCAGGATGGAAGCAAGTCGATGAAGAACTCTGTAGGGTAAGGCAGGTCCTAGTCAACTACGGCTTCTCCAATGGTTTCGTTGAAGACATCATAAGAAGGAAGGTGAAATGCCATGCAACCTCTGAAGAGACAACTAACACAACACCTATACCCCCTATTAGACTATTTTACAGGAACTTCTTTTCCACAGCTCATTAAACGGAGGAAAGGGTCCTGAAAGATATTGTTAATAGAAACGTTATCCCTACAGACAAAAATCAGAAGATACAACTGACGATTTACTATAAAAACAAAAAAAACGGCCAGCCTGCTCATGAGAAACTCTCCAGACACAAAGCAGAACGCTTTAAAAGAGACCAACGTCGTCTATGCCTTCAAATGCCCACTTGGGGACTGTAAGCCTCAAAAAACTCAGTATATAGGCAAGACAAAAACATCTCTTTCCAGGCGATTAACGATGCGTAAGTAACAGGGCTTCATTAAGGAACATATAATCTCTTCCCACAACCAGACCATCACCAGAGAAATCTTAGCAAACAACACAGAAATCATCGATAGATACAGCGATAGCAGGCGGCTTGACATCTGCGAGGTACTACACATCAAGAAGCAAGAAAGACCCTAGAGCGGCAAGTTTTCTTGCCGCTCTTGGGTCTCTTGTAGTGTCAATGAGCTTGGAACCAAGATCCTTAAGAAACCTTCTTGCACTCTCACCCCATGGGCCTAGGGTCTCAGACCCTATTGGAACGAAGTTGTACCGATGATCTAATTGCCTGTACTTGACTGACTTTTGTCTTTCTCTGTGTGTCACCATGGCTCCTGCTGTGCCGGAAGAGAGGTTGATGTATGTGGTTGCCAGGGTGGATACGCAAGTATAGTCCCATGCCAACTGTCTGCCACCCTTCCACGGACGCAGTGTGATTCCGTCTAGTCGGCCGGCAAACCTAACAGAGTCACAGTTCAGTAGGTTGCGGGGCTCTCTCTCCACTGGACACTGAGCAGAGGCAAGGCTTCTTTTAATGATGTCATTGATTTCGTCGTGTCTAGTGTGCCAACCACCCGATTTTCCACAGAGCAGGCCATGCAATCCATATTCGTCAGCATCTGCCTCACCGCAAATACACCTATGAACAGTGTGGATAGGGGCAGCAAGGCGGAGAGCGACAGCTATACGGAGCTCCTGCGGATCAAGACGTGTGCCTGTCGCAGACATAGGGACTGCCAAAAGGAAGTCCCCTGCATGGGGAGCCAGCACAGCTGTGAGGCGTGCACGATCATTGGGGGTTGTTGCTGCCTCCAGCAAAGCTGTGACTTCTTTGTCTACAATGGGGCTGTCCCAACTGGATTGTTTCTTGGCTTTCGGCATGGCTGGTCTGAGTGCTGGGTCTGCCATGGCACCCCATTTCGTGTCGCATTCCGTGTAGTGGGGGGGTCCTGTATCCCCGCTTCATCACTCAGAGTGTCAGGTAGAGATTCCTTAACCAGGTCATCTGATGCTGAGGAGGAAGACAGGAAGGCTGGGACAGCAATTCGGGTGGCGGTGCGGACACCCAAGCCACCGAGCCTAACAGGAAGAGTGGCTTGTTTCCACTGGCATTCGTTGAGGGAGAGGTTAACAACTTTTTCTAACATGGTCTTCAGTAAGAGGTCATACTCTTCAAGCTTTCGGTTGTCGTAAGATGGGGCGCACCTCAGAAAGTAGGTTAGCCTCGGAAGGGATAGGCATTTGGTGAGGAGATAAAAAGCATCGTGGGCATCGATGTCACCTATTCAGTCTTCCATCCTCCTAAGGTCTGATTTTCTTGTCAAGGATCTCCTCAATAGCGTTAGACCCGATGGGGGCTCCAAGGAGGGTGCTGTTCTCGGCCCTAATGACATGGATTCCAGGCAAGGCAGACCTTATTCTAGCTACGATGTCTGGGATGGAGGAGACTACTTCACACTTGGAAGGGTTCAGGACGAGACCCAGGCTTACTTCTTGCTCCCTTATTTTCCTGATATCTGCCAAGAGGTGGTCTACGGTGCCAACTATAGTACCTATATAACTATACATATATATATATATATATATATATATATATATATATATATATATATATATATATATATATATATATATATATATATATATATATATATATATATATATATGTGTTCCTCACGTGTGCCCCAAAGAATGAGGTGATTTGGTAAAATGCTATGCCCAAGATTACTATCCGAGTGCCGGCGGTGGGGTGGTTCAAATAGCCTCGGCTATCACCTCATTTTGTCCGGTCGTGATGGTCAAGTGGATTAAGGCGTCTTGTACATACCAGTTGCGTTGCTTCTGGGAGTATGGGTTCGAGTCACTTCTGGGGTGTGAGTTTTCAGTTGCATATTGTCCTGGGGACCATTCAGGCTTGTTCGCATATATATATATATATATATATATATATATATATATATATATATATATATATATATATATACATAAATGGACTTACATCATCATATATATACATGCATGTACATATGTATACATACATGTACATATATAAACACATTGGGCATAATCTCACTGAAGCGACCATACTAGTCATAAATACTCATACTCCGCCCAAATAAAACAGAAACAAGCAACACTTAGTGGGCCAGCCAGGCCCGTCCCTGCAAAAAAATTATGTACACTAATACATATATGTTTCAATAGTCTTTTTAAATCGAAAATAAGTGATTCTAGATAAACCCCCTCCCTTCCCTACACCACCGCCTTCCCTTCCCTACACCACCCCTTCCCTCCCCTTCACCACCCCTTCCCTCCCCTACACCACCCCCTTTCCTTCCCTACATCACCCCTTACCTTCCTTACACCATCCCTTCCCTTCCCTACACCATCCCCTTCCCTCCCTTACACCACCCCTTCCCTCCCCTTCACCACCCCTTTCCTCCCCTACACCACCACCTTATCTCCCCTACACCACAACCTTATCTCCCCTACACCACCCTCTTCCCTCCCCTTCACACCCCTTCCCTCCCCTACACCACCCCTTCCCTCCCCTTCACCACCCTCTTCCCTTCCCCTTCCCTCCCCTACACCACCCCTTCCCTCCCCTACACCACCCCCCTTCCCTCCCTTACACCACCCCTTCCCACCCCTACACCACCCCCTTTAGGATGTATATGAAGGTCGTGTCTGGGCCCCGCCCTGGACTGACGTCAGCACACCGCCGCTACATAAGGGGCTGCGGCCAGTGTCCTCCACCACAAGCTGTACACCGCCTGTACCTCGCCAGTACCTCGCCGCCACCATCATGAAGTCTGTGAGTAACTCCTGACGTAGACATAAACGCACACGTTGGTGACGTTAAAACGTGTCGGCGTCACGTCTCTTCATTAATGTGCAGGTTTAGTGTTGTCTTGATACGATTATTGTGACATAACGTTATGACTTGTTACTCACGCCAGCCTCTAGTCTCCATAGTTCCGTATATGCTTGCGTTTGTCCCCAGCTGGTGATCCTGTGTGTTATGGCCGCCTGCGCCTCCGCCCAGGTGGTTGTGCCCGGTGCCGTGGCTTACCGAGCCCCGTCCTACGACTCCGCCATCATCCAGAGTCATCGCCTGGGCGGCAACTTCGCCTACTCCACCAACGAGGCCCACGCATACGCCGTGCAGACCCCCGTCATCGGCCAGCACATTGTTCCCGTCGGCGTCACCTACACGCAAGGAACCCCCATCGTCAAGAGCTCCACCGGGTACATCACGCAACAGATACCCCACTACGGCTACACCTTTCCCAGAGTTGCCACAATTCCACAGGTAGCTCCCATCCCACAGGTGGCTACCTTCCCACAGGTGGCTGCATATAGCGCCCTTCCCTACACCTATGTCCTTGGGCCTGCTAAATCTGACGCAGCTCCCGAACCCACAGCAGCAAAAGAGCCCATCGTTGACACCCTTTAAGGCACCTTACAACTCATTCGTTTTTGAGCTCAGTTCTCGACTACTTTCCTTCTGTTGATTGTTCTCTGTAGTCTATAGACTTGATACTATGTTCGATCATGGACGCATCTTAGCGTAAGACTGTATTAGCCCATGAATATCTTCGGTTTGGACTGGCTAAGCGTTGGGGTAGGAGTACCTTGGCGTGGGCGCGTCATGTCGTGGACGTGTCATGGTGTGGGCACATCTTAGTGTAGTTGCGTCTGGGTGCGCGCGCATCATGGCGCCTAGGGCAGTGACAGAGCCCAAGAGGGTTGGTCGCTGCACCTTGTACAGATCCGGTGTACAGACCTGTATAATAAGATGCAATATATTAACAAAAAAATAAATATTTATTCTACCATAAGATTTTATTTTCCCCTAGTTTGAAAACAGTCTGTCAAGAAAAAGTAAAAATAAAATGTCCCATTAAATTGTAATAAATTATCCCAGTTAAATGTCCTAGTAAGATGGAGAACACAAGCGTTGAACATAGTAATGGGACATCTTGCTTTCTTAATGTCCCTCTGGGTCACTGACTAGACGAAATCCTCGGTAAAGCTGACTTCACTGACATTGCTCAACTTGTATTCTTGTATTGGCATCCTGACTGATAAGGATACGTAGGACAATTGATATTTTCTGTGTCGCTAAGGATGGTAAATAATCTTAGAGGTCGGAGCCGGTCGGCCGAGCGGACAGCACGCTGGACTTGTGATCCTGTGTTCGATCCCAGGCGCCGGCGAGAAACATTGGGCAGAGTTTCTTTCACCCTATGCCCCTGTTACCTAGCAGTAAAATAGGTACCTGGGTGTTAGTCAGCTGTCACGGGCTGCTTCCTGGGGGTGGAGGCCTGGTCGAGGACCGGGCCGCGGGGACACTAAAAAGCCCCGAAATCATTTCAAGATAACCTCAAGAAGGTTTGGCGCCGTATTTGGTTACTTACTAACCTGTTCGACCTATTATCGAGTCTTTGTGCGACGCTAGATGGACCGTAATTATATATTATATTCATCTACTAAGCCTTTCCCTCACAGGAGAACAGTTTGCACGTGTGGAAGTGTGAATACCATGAGTAAACGGAATACGACGGTGAATGAACACTAGGTTACAAGATTGTAAGCTTTTGTTAAATTGTCTGACTGCCTATTTTAAATTATCTATATATCTAGTCATAAAAGTATTTGTATGTACGTCTGGTAACATACTACATGTGTAAAGGAAGAAATGTATATGCTTATCACTCAGAATGTTCGGTAATATATGTTTTTGTTTGTGATGTGTGTCTGCATATATATGAACACGTTGTACTGAACGGGGTGAGGACAGCTTGAGCTACCTCATCCCTTTATGTGTATTTTATTTCAAAAAATTTAAATTTCAACCCTGTCTCATAACCAAGTCGCAAGTGTATACTTGAATGAATACCTTCTGGCATATAAGAACATAAGAATAAAGGTAACTGCAGAAGGCCTATTGGCCCATACGAAGCAGCTCCTATCTATAACCACCCAATCCCACTCATATACATATACCCACGCTTGAAACAATCGAAGGACCCCACCTCCACCACGTTACGCGGTAATTGGTTCCACAAATCAACAACCCAGTTACGGAACCAGTATTTACCCAACTCTTTCCTAAATCTGAACTTATCCAATTTATTCCCATTGTTTCATGTCTTATGTTGATACTTTTAATACCCTATTAATATCCCCTTGTTATGTCCATTCATCCACTTGTAAACCTCTATCATGTCACCCCTAACTCTTCGCCTTTCCAGTGACTGCAATTTAAGCTTTGTTAATCTTTCTTCATATGAAAGATTTCTAATTTGGGGAATTAACTTAGTCATCCTACACTGGACACGTTCAAGTGAATTTATATCCATTCTATAATACGGCGACCAAAACTGAACTGCATAATCTAAATCGGGCCTAACCAGAGTAAGATATAGCTGAAGAACCACACCAGGTGTCATGTTACTAACGCTATGATTAATAAATCCCAGTGTCCTATTTGCCTTATTGCGAACATTCATGCATTGATCTTTTTGTTTTAAATTCTTACTAATCATAACTCCCAGATCCCTTTCGCAATCCGACTTTGCAATCTCAACACCATCTAGCTCGTATCTTGTAACTCTATCATCATTACCTAGCCTCAGAACTTTACATTTATCAGCATTAAACTGCATCTGCCAATCTTTTGACTATTTCAAAACCCTATCTAGATCAACTTGAAATGATAGTGAGTCTTCTTCCGTGTTAATTTCCCTACCGATTTTTGTATCATCTGCAAATTTGCAGATGTTGTTACTCAAACCTGAATCTAAATCAGAGGCGAGAGGTCGACCACTGACATGTTGTTCTCCTAGAGACAGCTTAAATAAAAGTGAAGGGAGCAGAGAAACGCCCTGTACATCGCCTTCATTGACCTTACAAAGGCCTTCGACCTCATGAACAAGGACTGACTTCTTCAAGATCTTGGCCAAAATTGGGTGCCCACCAACCCTACTCAGCATGATACAATCGTTCCACGAAGAAATGAAGGGAACATTCGTGCACGACGGCTAAACTTCTGAGCCATTCAACATCAACAGTGGTGTTAAAGAGGGATGCGTCCTTGCTCCAACCCTGTTCGGCAACTTCTTCGCGATCCTCGTCAAGCAAGCCTTTGGAACCACCACAGAGGGCATCTATCTCTGTACAAGATCTGATGGAAAGCTCTTCAATCTATCCAGACTCCGAGCAAAGACGAAAGTACAGATGAGAATCCTCGGAGACTTCCACTTCGCCGACGACGCAGTGATCACCACACACACACACACACACACAGTGACGTCGAGTCACTGTGAGGGGTGAGGTCTCAGACTGGCGAGGCGTCACCAGATTGAGTCCCGCAGGGTTCAGTCCTTGGACCTATACTGTTTCTGATATATGTAAATGATCTCCCAGAGGGTATAGAATCGTTCCTCTCAATGTTTGCTGATGATGCAAATATTATGAGAAGGATTAAGACACAGGAAGATAGCATGAGGCTACAAGAGGACCTAGACAAAGTGAATGAATGGTCCAACAAATGGCTATTAAAATTCAACCCTGAGTAGATGTAAGTAATGAACCTAGACGGTGGAAACAGTAGGCCAGACACAGGATACCAATGAGAGATAAAGTACTTCATGAAACGGACAGAGAGAAAGATCTAAGAGTTAATATCACACCAAACCTGTTTCCTGAAGCCCACATGATAAGAATAACATCAGCGGCGTGTGCGAGGTTAGCTAACATCAGAACTGCCTTCAGGAACCTGTGTAAGGAATCATTAAGAACCTTGTATACCACATATGTAAGGCCAATGCTGGAGTATGCGGTCCCAGCATGAAGCCTGTACCTTGTCAAGCACAAGACGAAGCAGGAAAAAGTTCAGAGGTTTGCCCCTAGGCTATTCCCAGAACTGAGGCCTGAATTATGAGGAAAGGCTGCATGAAATGCACCTCACGACACTGGAAGACAGAAGAGTAAGAGGGGACATGATTATTACTTACAAAATTCTCAGAGGAACTGACAGGGTAGATAAAGATAAACTGTTTAACATGAGCGGTACGGGAACAAAGGAACACAGATGGAAGCTGAGTATCCAAATGAGCCACAGGGACGTTAGGAAGAACTTTTTCAGTGTCAGAAGTTAACAAATGGAATGCATTAGGCAGTGATATGGTGGAGGCTGACTCCATACACAGTTTCAAATGTAGATATGATAGAGTCCAGAAGGCTCAGGAATGTGTACATCTGTTGATTGACAGTTGAGACGCGGGATCAAAGAGCCGGAGCTCAACCCCCGCAAGCACAACTAGGTGAATACACAACAGAAGGCCTGCAGCCTTCTCAACCGCTTTCCCACAGCCTGCTCCGCATTCGGCCTGACAATTAGCCTGAAGAAGACACAGGTGATGGGACAAGACGTCAATGCGTTACTCTGTATAAACATCACAGACTGCGAGCTGGAAGCAGTCCACGAGTTTGTGTACCTGGGCTCCACAATCTCAGACACCCTTTCCCTGGACACTGAGCTTAACAGGCGTATCGGGAAGGCCGCAACAACACTGGCCAGGCTCACAAAGCGCGTTTCTGCAAATGTCAAACTGACAGTTCACACCAAGGCGAAGGTCTACATGGCATGTGTGGTTAGTACACTTCTCTACGGCTCGGAATTCTCGACCCTGCGTGCTCGCCAGGAGAAACAGCTCAATGTCTTTCATACGCGGAACCTGAGACGCATCCTTGACATCACGTGGAGAGACCACGTCACCAATAATGCAGTGCTCCAGAGAACAGAAATCCTCTCAATGTTCACTCTCCTGAAGCAGAGACGCATGCGATGGCTGGGACTTATCACACTCATTGAAGATAGCCGCATATCGAAGGTTCTCTTGTATGGAGAACTGGTATCAGGAAAGAGGCCCACTGGAAGACCTCAGCTGCATTTCAGATACGCCTGCAAATGCGACCTCAAGCAGCCGAACATCAACACTTAGGAGGCAGCAGCTGCGGCAGATCTGCCGGAAGATGCAAAGTGTGGAAGGGACTCCAGCAATTCGAGAATGAACTGAAGAGGCAGGGGGAGGAAAAGAGTCTTCAGAGGAAGTCTTGACCACTGACCTTTCAGCTGAAGGTCACAGCTGGAGGTCACAACTGGAGGTCACAGCTGGAGGTCACAGCTGGAGGTCACAACTGAAGGTCACAACTGGAGGTTACAGCTGGAGGTTACAGCTGGAGGTCACAGCTGACGGTCACAGCTGGAGGTCACACCTGAAGATCACTGTGACTCCCGAAATTTCATGACAATTAACAATGTTATTATTATTATTATTATTATTATTATTATTATTATTATTATTATTATTAGTAGTAGTAGTAGTAGTATTATTAGTAGAACGAAAAATGATAATTATTAATTATTTTATTATTATAATAATTATTATAATAATAATTGTTGTATTTAATAATTATTATTATTATTCTCTGCTGGTTCAAGAAGGAAGCTGGCCTCGGGTGAAAGTGGGCTGTAACAATATCTGTCTGGATCCCACAGGTGCGGGACCGAGACGTCCACCTCCCGGGGGTCGTGCGGCCCAGGCTCTGCTTCAGGAGGCTGGGGTCGTTCTTGCCCTTGATGGGGTGATTCTTTGCCGGCCACGACCACGACAATCTCCGGGTTTGGAGTCTCTGTGCCTTCCTTCACCAACTTCGAGGTCATCTCCGGTGCTCACAGTTCCTGCGACGGCGCTGGAACCAATCGTATTGGCGTTTACCTTTCAATTGGAGACTTTCGGCGCCGTGGAGAGGGGGGGATATGCTGCTTGGGTAACAGCTTCCCCTCCGTATCAACCTACCCTGGGTTTACGCCCTGGAGAGGCCGCTCCAGACCGACAACTAGAGCGCAACACCATAGTCTCCTGAGACTGATGGATGCCTACTATTATTATTATTGAACAAATCGAACAGGAGCCTTGATGAGGGTTCGAACTTATGCTGAGTGTTCCTAGAAACGCTTTAGTCAACTGTACCACGACATGGTAAAATAATTGTAACCTGTAGTACTAACTGCACCCACGAGGGTCCCGAGGCTTCCGCTGAAACCTAACCGGGTTTTCACACAATTGTGTGGAACTCGGGCTCTGGCAACCCGAGTGTTAGCTTTGTCAACCAACTGTTAATGTGATTTCTCGGTGTATTGAAGTAGGAGCATCAGAGGTAGTTCTACTAGTTGACAGAGCCAGAGTGCATGGGGGAGAATTGTGTGAAACCCCGCGTAAGCTTCAGTGGAGGCTTCGGGACCCTTGTGGGTGCAGCAGCACTCCAGGTTGCAATTCTTTGACCATGTCGGGGTACAGTCGACTAGAGCGCGTCTGGGAACACTCAGCAGATAGGTTCGAACCTAATCAAGGATCCTGTAGAACTTGTTCTTTAATATATTACTTTAATGTGAATTTTCTGTATTATTATTATTATTATTCGTAGTATTTTACTAACGTTTGGAGCATAAAATCTAGAAATGAAGATGTACATTTATTAATGATTCACACACAAAAAAAAAGATAAGACACAACGCTCTGAAGGTTTTATTGGTGACATAACATAAGTGACTTCAGTTGTTTGAAGACGATCTTTATTGTTAATGTGTCGTGGATGAACGACCACATTGTCTAGACCACATTGTTTAGACTAAGCGGACAGTGACTGCGCCGTCCCCTGTACCATAACTGCTGACAAAGGTAAGGAAAAACGCTATCAACAGTGACTACACCGTCTCGTGTACCATAACTGCTGACAAAGAGAAGGGGAAAACACTATCAAAAGTGACTACACCGTCTCGTGTACCATAATACTGATAAAGAGAAGGGAAAAACACTATCAACAGTGACTGTACCATCCCGTGTACCACAACAGCTGACAAATGGAGGAGGAAAACACCATTAAGAGTGACTACACCGCTCCGTGTACCCTGAGAATCTACATCACGCCATAAACATACACAAGTCCTGAGCAGAGAAACACCCACACATGCTGAGCAACACCCACCACCACACCCTAAGCAACACCTACCACCACTCCCTAAGCAACACCCACCACCACACCTTAAGCATCACCTGCCACCACACCCTAAGCAACACTTACCATCACTCCCTAAGCAACACCTACCACCAAAATGTAAAGTATATTCGTAAACACTTGTAACATGCGGGAAGTATAATGTTGTCAACTTTGGCATATGACAGGTGAGGTAAAGTGTGTTTATTTGTATTTTCTAAACGTTTGAAACATGTGAGAGTGAGAGAGAGAATTGAATATTACGAAGCCTACACCAGGCTTGCCCGACCTCGTAGGTGGGTGCATTCAATTTGACGAGGTGGATCTTTATCCAGCTTATCCGATCACGTAGGGCGATTTCGAATAGACGGTTTTGCCGGCCGGCGACGTATTGATGACGGGCATTCCCCCGGAGTAAGCGAAGCCAGCTGGGAAGTCGTAATTGAGCTGCTGCTGGAAGTAGTAGTAGGGAGAGGTGAGGCCGCCAGTCAGCTGGTTCTGTGTTTGTGGGAACCTGGACTGTTGTTGCTGCTGCTGAAGTGACGCCTGGAACTGATAGTTTTGCTGTACGGGAGGTTGCTGTGGAAAGTGAATCTGTTGCTGCTGCTGCTGCAATTGCTGCTGAATCTTCAGATGTTGCGCCTCGAGTTCCCTCTGAAGCGCTTCCAGTTTTTCCTGCTGGAGCCTTAACTGTCGCCTCTGTTCCTCCACCTGTTGCTGCTGACGACGGTACGTCTCCTGCTGTCTCTGGATAAGCTGATCCTGTAGATGCTGCTGCTGCGAGAACTGCTGCGTCTGGAAACTGGATGTCTGCGGTGGCGCGTTGGAGCCCAAGGGCGGAGGGATGGCGAACTCTGCGGTGCCCTCAACAGCCCCGGTGAAGGCTGGGGCGCCCAGCACCTTGGAGGCCGGGGTGTCTGGACTAATCGGGAGGTCGTTGCCTAAGACACGAAAGCCTCTCTTATCGGCGACGTAAGATCGCACCACCTGACCAAGACAAAACAAAAAGAGACGTGTAGGTCTTTGTAACAAAATTTTTTGTATTAATTTTATTTTATAACATTATATAATCTAATAAGATATATTAGACATTAACTAATTCAACATTTACAATTTTGGGTTTCTTTCAAATGCTGAAACTAACCATTTTTATCAATATTTCTGAATTACAAACACTTGAAGCTATAAGATCTAGGTAAAATTCTCGTACACCTTTACCTGTTTCCCATTAGGGTCGAAGTAGCGGTAGGAGCCGTAGGTGGCGCCATCTTCCTGCCGCACCTCCACCTTGGCGATACCATCGCCAGTGTTGTAGCCATAGTTATAGCGACCACCTTCAGCGCCCACGGAGTACGCCCCCCGCTCCTGGGGCGCCGCTGCGTAGACCACACCCCCATGGCTCACCCGGTGGAGTTCCCCCAACGCTGTGATGCACCCACAGGAGAGGACTGCCGTCAGGAGCGCCTGGGGGAAGAGGAGGTTCTTTTCTTACTACTTCCAGTGAAGCAAAACAAAAGAGCGATCAAGTAATTATTAAGAGAAGGCACCAAGCCTGGAAGACTATTTTAGCAACATAAAAGTGACAAACAAAAGATTTATGGTTATAAGCGTCACTTGAAATGCTGTTCAAAGTGCGATTTTTGTTGTTATGTGATGCAATTGTCATTCTCAACGCTGTGATGCAATTGTCATTCTCAACGCTGTGATGCAATTGTCATTCTCAACGCTGTGATGCAATTATCATTCTCAACGCTGTGATGCAATTGTCATTCTCAACGCTGTGATGCAATTGTCATTCTCAACGCTGTGATGCAATTGTCATTCTCAACGCTGTGATGCAATTGTCATTCTCAACGCTGTGATGCAATTGTCATTCTCAACGCTGTGATGCAATTGTCATTCTCAACGCTGTGATGCAATTATCATTCTCAACGCTGTGATGCAATTATCATTCTCAACGCTGTGAGGCAATTGTCATTCTCAACGCTGTGATGCAATTGTCATTCCCAACGCAGCGATACTATTATCTTAGCGCTGTGATATAATTATCCTTCTCAGCGCTACAACTTCCAGTATAACTCATCATCTTCATCTGATATACTAAGTAGATACAAAGGATGGCGCCGCTCACCCCCAAAGCCGCAGGTAAAAAGGAAACACAAATCAGTAGGCCCTGTAACGTTCTTTGTCAGTGTGTTGAGACTAGTGGAACTCTACCCATTCACGTGTCGTTTGTAAACTGTTGCACTGTGGGCCAACCACAGGTGTCTCTTCACCGAGTTTACAGTGACGGTGTTGAATGATGAGGTATGTCGGTAGATATAGAATTCCTGATTACTATCTGTTTCCGTTAAAAATATCATTGAGCTCAGCGCACTGGAGACTTTGACTTCCACAGCCACGCTATTTACAACTATCATCTGCAAACTGTGGGAGTTTGACCTCTCACAGTCGCATTGTTTTCAGAAAATAACTTTTCATGACGATGCAATGGGCTACGTCTGCGAAGAGCTACTTATTAGCGTTCCCTGCTAATAACTTTAGAGAGTGAGTATCCAAAGTACTTGGAGAGAGTATCCAAAGGATACTTAATCAACCAGGCTGTGACTCATACGTCAACAGCCTGGTTGATCAGTCCGGCAACCAGGAGGCCTGGTCGACGACCGGGCCGCGGGGACGCTAAGCCCCGGAAGCACCTCAAGGTAACCTCAAGGTAAGGAGTGAGAGGGTCAGTACGGCGCGTTAACAGACCACTGGCAGACAGAAAGTAACAAAATGTTATCGGTAAAATGTTATTGCTGAACAGAGAAGCAAAATACAGCAACAGACGGCAATTGCGATTCGGAATTAATTGTACTGGAGCTCACACCGCTTCGCAACACAGGGAAGAGAGGGCATCTTGAGAGGTATTTTACTGAGGATGCAGACAAGAGACGCACGCAGGCACGAGACGCGCGCAGGCACGAGACGCACGCAGACACGAGACGCCTGCAGGCACGAGACGCACGCAGGCACGAGACGCCTGCAGGCACCAGATGCCTGCAGGCACCAGACGCCTGCAGGCACCAGACGCCTGCAGGCACCAGACGCCTGCAGGCACCAGACGCCTGCAGGCACCAGACGCCTGCAGGCACCAGACGCCTGCAGGCACCAGACGCCTGCAGGCACCAGACGCCTGCAGGCACAAGACGCCTGCAGGCACAAGACGCCTGCAGACACCAGACGCCTGCAGACACCAGACGCCTGCAGACACCAGACGCCTGCAGGCACAAGACGCCTGCAGACACCAGACGCCTGCAGACACAAGACGCCTGCAGACACCAGACGCCTGCAGGCACCAGACGCCTGCAGGCACCAGACGCCTGCAGGCACCAGACGCCTGCAGGCACCAGACGCCTGCAGGCACCAGACGCCTGCAGGCACAAGACGCCTGCAGGCACAAGACGCCTGCAGACACCAGACGCCTGCAGGCACCAGACGCCTGCAGGCACAAGACGCCTGCAAACACAAGACGCCTGCAGGCACCAGACGCCTGCAGGCACAAGACGCCTGCAGACACCAGACGCCTGCAGGCACCAGACGCCTGCAGACACCAGACGCCTGCAGGCACAAGACGCCTGCAGGCACCAGACGCCTGCAGGCACCAGACGCCTGCAGACACAAGACGCCTGCAGGCACAAGACGCCTGCAGACACAAGACGCCTGCAGGCACCAGACGCCTGCAGGCACAAGACGCCTGCAGACACCAGACGCCTGCAGACACCAGACGCCTGCAGGCACCAGACGCCTGCAGACACCAGACGCCTGCAGGCACGAGACGCACGCAGGCACGAGACGCCTGCAGGCACCAGACGCCTGCAGGCACCAGACGCCTGCAGGCACCAGACGCCTGCAGGCACCAGACGCCTGCAGGCACCAGACGCCTGCAGGCACCAGACGCCTGCAGGCACCAGACGCCTGCAGGCACCAGACGCCTGCAGGCACCAGACGCCTGCAGGCACCAGATGCCTGCAGGCACCAGACGCCTGCAGGCACCAGACGCCTGCAGGCACCAGACGCCTGCAGGCACCAGACGCCTGCAGGCACCAGACGCCTGCAGGCACCAGACGCCTGCAGGCACCAGACGCCTGCAGGCACAAGACGCCTGCAGACACCAGACGCCTGCAGGCACCAGACGCCTGCAGGCACAAGACGCCTGCAGACACCAGACGCCTGCAGGCACCAGACGCCTGCAGGCACAAGACGCCTGCAGACACAAGACGCCTGCAGGCACAAGACGCCTGCAGACACAAGACGCCTGCAGACACAAGACGCCTGCAGACACCAGACGCCTGCAGGCACCAGACGCCTGCAGACACCAGACGCCTGCAGGCACCAGACGCCTGCAGACACCAGACGCCTGCAGGCACCAGACGCCTGCAGACACCAGACGCCTGCAGACACCAGACGCCTGCAGACACCAGACGCCTGCAGACAGACCCGCACCATGTACACACACACTGTACATGACCAAAGAGCCAGAGCTCAACACTCGCAAGCACAACTAGGTAAGTACACTTCTCTCACTTTGCTAAATAAAACACGGGCCTCAACAAATGTTAGAAGTACCCATTGTGTCACGCATCTGAGTATGTATGTGTGTGTGTACTCACGTAGTTGTACTCACCTAGTTGTTCTTCCGGGGGTTGAGCTTCGGATCTTTGGTCCCGCCTCTCAACCTCCAATCAACAGGTGTACAGATTACTGGGCCTACTGGACTCTATCATATTTGAAACAGTGAATGGAATCAGCCTCCACCACATCACTTCCTAGTGCATTCCATTTACTAACCACTCTGACACTGAAAAAGTTCTTTCTAATGTCCCTGTGGCTCATTTGGGCACTCAGTTTCCACCTGTGCCCCCTAGTGCCTGTGCCCCTTATGTTAAATAGCCTGTCTTTATCTACCCTATCAATTCCTTTGAGAATCTTGAAAGTGGTGATCATGTCCCCCCAAACTCTTCTGTCTTCCAGCGACGTGAGGTTTAATTCCCGTAGTCTCTCGTCATAGCTCATACCTCTCAGCTCGGGTACTAGTCTGGTGGCAAACCTTTGAACCTTTTCCAGTTTAGTCTTATCCTTGACTAGATATGGACTCCATGATGGGGCTGCATACTCCAAGATTGGCCTGTCATATGTGGTATACAAAATTCTGAATGATTCCTAACACCTTCCTTGATTCCTTGTGTGTATGTGTGTGTCTGTGGATGTGTGTGTGTGTGTGTGTGTGTGTGTGTGTGTGTGTGTGTGTGTGTGTGTGTGTGTGTGTGTGTGTGTGTGTGTGTGTGTGTGTGTGTGTGTGTACTCACCTAGTTGTACTCACCTAGTTGTGTTTGCGGGGGTTGAGCTCTGGCTCTTTGGTCCCGCCTCTCAACCGTCAATCAACAGGTGTACAGATTCCTGAGCCTATCGGGCTCTATCATATCTACACTTGAAACTGTGTATGGAGTCAGCCTCCACCACATCTCTTCCTAATGCATTCCATTTGTCAACCACTCTGACACTAAAAAAGTTCTTTCTAATATCTCTGTGGCTCATTTGGGCACTCAGTTTCCACCTGTGTCCCCTTGTACGTGTTCCCCTTGTGTTAAATAGACTGTCTTTATCTACCCTATCAATTCCCTTCAGAATCTTGAATGTGGTGATCATGTCCCCCCTAACTCTTCTGTCTTCCAGGAAAGTGAGGTTTAATTCCCGTAGTCTCTCCTCGTAGCTCTTACCTCTCAGCTCAGGTACTAGTCTGGTTGCAAACCTTTGAACCTTTTCCAGTTTAGTCTTATCCTTGATTAGATATGGACTCCATGCTGGGGCTGCATACTCCAGGATTGGCCTGACATATGTGTGTGTTTACTAGTTGTGTTTTTACGGGGGTTGAGCTTTGCTCTTTCGGCCCGCCTCTCAACTGTCAATCAACTGTTTACTAACTACTTTTTTTTTCCACACCACACACACACACACACACCCCAGGAAGCAGCCCGTGACAGCTGACTAACTCCCAGGTACCTATTTACTGCTGGGTAACAGGGGCATTCAGGGTGAAAGAAACTTTGCCCATTTGTTTCTGCCTCGTGCGGAATCGAACCCGCGCCACAGAATTACGAATCCTGCGCGCTATCCACCAGGCTACGAGGCCCTCTCGTAGCCTGGTAGCCTAGTAGCCAGGCTACGAGGCCCCCCTCGTAGCCTTTATTTGTGTGTTTGTGTGTGTATGTGTGTGTGTGTGTGTGTGTGTGTGTGTGTGTGTGTGTGTGTGTGTGTGTGTGTGTGTGTGTGTGTGTGTGTGTGTGTGTGTGTGTGTGTGTGTGTGTGTGTGTGTAATTACCTAAGTGTAGTTACAGGATGAGAGCTACGCTCGTGGTGTCCCGTCTTCCCAGCACTCTTTGTCATATAACGCTTTGAAACTACTGACGGTCTTGGCCGTCACCACCTTCTCACCTAACTTGTTCCAACCGTCTACCACTCTGTTTGCGAAAGTGAATTTTCTTATATTTCTTTGGAATCTGTTTTTAGCTAGTTTAAATCTATGACCTCTTGTTCTTAAAGTTCCAAGTCTCAGGAAATCTTCCCTATCGATTTTATCAATTCCTGTTACTATTTTGTATGTAGAGATCATATCACCTCTTTTTCTTCTGTCTTCTAGTTTTGGCATATTTAATGCCTCTAACCTCTCCTCGTAGCTCTTGCCCTTCAGTTCTGGGAGCCACTTAGTAACATGTCTTTGCACCTTTTCCAGTTTGTTGATGTGCTTCTTAAGATATGGGCATGTTATATGACGATGTGTGATGCTGTGTGAAGGTGTGTGATGTTATGTGACGATGTGTGATGTTATGTGACAAGATGTGATGTTATGTGAAGATGTGTGACGATGTGTGATATTATGTGACCATATGTGTGTGTGTGTGTGTGTGTGTGTGTGTGTGTGTGTGTGTGTGTGTGTGTGTGTGTGTGTGTGTGTGTGTGTGTGTGTTTGTGTGTGTGTGTGTGTGTGTGTGTGTGTGTGTGTGTGTGTGTGTGTGTGTGTGTGTGTGTGTGTGTGTGTGTGTGTGTGTGTGTGTGTGTGTGTGTGTGTGTGTGTGTGTGTGTGTGTGTGTGTGTGTGTGTGTGTGTGTGTGTGTGTGTACTCACCTAGTTGTGTTTGCGGGGGTTGAGCTCTGGCTCTTTGTGTGTGTGTGTGTGTGTGTGTGTGTGTGTGTGTGTGTGTGTGTGTGTGTGTGTGTGTGTGTGTGTGTGTGTGTGTGTGTGTGTGTGTGTGTGTGTGTGTGTGTGTGTGTGTGTGTGTGTGTGTGTGTGTGTGTGTGTGTGTGTGTGTGTGTGTGTGTGTGTGTGTGTGTGTGTGTGTGTGTGCTTCTGTGTGTATGCTGTTGCATCCGGGAACAAGCTGGCGTAGGCAGGCCTGGAGGGCGGTGGCCGCGATCGGTCTCAAGGTCGCTTGCAGTATCTTGTCATGCGCCGCCCTCCTGCCCACCTGCTGGAGCCTCTCCGCCGCTCCTCGTCTCCTCTCACCCACCACCACTACTCTCACAAAAACAACAATGTCCTCAGGTCACGGAAACGATCCTGCAGGTGCCGCACGGGCGAACAAGACACAATATCACGAGAGAACAGAGAACCGAGAAGCCCATCCCACATAAGAATCAGAGCAAGCCACCTCCAAGGAGGGATTCCTTATAAGGATACCAGATCAAGACGCCCAGATGCCCTACTACGACTCAAAGCAACACGGGGGGAAGAAGTTGTTGCTCACGACCTCTGCGTCGCCTTGTTGTTCTTCTCTCTTCGTTCCAGGACTCATGATGTTGTGTTTTCTTGTTGCCTTGTATTTTGTCGGTGCGGATGGCAGTTATGTGACGATGTGTGATGTTATGTGACGATGTGTGATGTTATGTGACGATGTGTGATGTTCTGTGACGATGTGTGATGTTATGTGACGATGTGTGATGCCGTGTGACGATGACTGATGCTATGTGACGATGTGTGATGTTATGTGAAGGTGTGTGATGTTATGTGACGATGTGTGATGTTATGTGACGATATGTGATTTTATGTGACGATGTGTGATGCTGTATGACGATGACTGATGTTATGTGACGATGTGTGATGTTATGTGAAGGTGTGTGATGTTATGTGACGATGTGTGATGTTATGTGACGATGTGTGATGTTATGTGACGATATGTGATTTTATGTGACGATGTGTGATGTTGTATGACGATGACTGATGTTATGTGACGATGTGTGATGTTATGTGAAGGTGTGTGATGTTATGTGACGATGTGTGATGTTATGTGACGATATGTGATTTTATGTGACGATGTGTGATGCTGTATGACGATGACTGATGTTATGTGACGATGTGTGATGTTATGTGAAGGTGTGTGATGTTATGTGACGATGTGTGATGCCGTGTGACGATGACTGATGCTATGTGACGATATACGATGCTATGTAGGGAAAGTAATGCCATTTGGACATCCCCCAATGGAAATACTAAACAGAAGGGAAGGATTTCTACACCTATATACTGACTGTAACGGAAGCCACCAATTGACTCCCCACACCACCACACAACCATACGCCAGATCTTGCGAACCCGGAATGAGACTTAACTGGAGCGCCTAGAGTCCCTCGCCACTCACACTTTCACAGTGTCTTGAACCACTGAGTGTTTATCCTGATAGCACCTTTATGATGGTGTATTCCGCTTTTTGGAATAAGATGTGGAATATGATGTGCTTTTGGAATAAGCAACTGGATGTGGATAGAACCTGCCTCGTAAGAACTGATATGCCGTCTGCAGTTTCCTTCATTCTAATATTCCTATGCATTCTTATATTCTTATATGTAAATCCTCTGGAAGATCGCTTCAATAAATGCACTTAAATTGTTTCAAATTATATTGGTTTCAACAAAATATCATTGCAAGTGCGTCGCATTCGGCTTATATCCGGTGAACACACAGATTTTCACCACATCCATTTATTACCACAACACCACATCCATGTATCACTGGAACATCACCTCCATTTTTATCACCACACCACCACATCCATTTATTACCACAACACCACATCCATGTATCACTGGAACATCACCTACATTTTTATCACCACACCAACACATCCATTTATTACCACAACACCACATCCATGTATCACTGGAACATCACCTACATTTTTATCACCACACCACCACATCCATTTATTACCACAACACCACATCCATGTATCACTGGAACATCACCTACATTTTTATCACCACACCAACACATCCATTTATTACCACAACACCACATCCATGTATCACTGGAACATCACCTACATTTTTATCACCACACCACCACATCCATTTATCACCACAACACCACATCTATGTATCTCCACAACACCATATCCATGTATCACCACAACACCACATCCATGTATCACTGCAACACCACATCCATGTATCACTGCAACACCACATCCATGCATCACTGCAACACCACATCCATGCATCACTGCAACACCACATCCATGTATCACGGCAACACCACATCCATGTATCACTGCAACACCATATCTATGTATCACCACGTTCATAAATCACCGCAACACCACATCCATGTATCACCACATCCATGTTTCACCGTACCACCACGTCCATGTATCACTGCAACCCCACATCCATGTATCACGGCAACACCACGTCCATGTATCACTGCAACCCCACATCCATGTATCACGGCAACACCACGTCCATGTATCACTGCAACCCCACATCCATGGATCACCGCAACACTACATCAAAAATATGTAGTGCCAAATTTCACCATAGAAATTGTCAGTGTCAGAGGTAACCATAAACAGTGCCAGATGTTACCATTAACAGTGCCAGGTGTCACCATAAACTGTGCCAGATGTCTCCATTAACAGTGTCAGGTGTCTCCATTAACAGTGCCAGGTGTCACTATAAACAGTGCCCAGTGTCACTATTAACAGTGCCAGGTGTCACCATTAACAGTGCCAGGTGTAACAATTAACAGTGCCAGGTGTCACCATAAACAGTGCCAGGTGTCACCATAAACAGTGCCAGGTGTAACAATTAACAGTGCCAGGTGTCACTATTAACAGTGCCAGGTGTCACCATAAACAGTGCCAGGTGTCACCATAAACAGTGCCAGGTGTCACCATTAACAGTGCCCGGTGTCACCATAAACAGTGCCCGGTGTTTCCATTAACAGTGCCAGGTGTAACAATTAACAGTGCCAGGTGTAACAATTAACAGTGCCAGGTGTCTCCATTAACAGTGCCCGGTGTAATCATTAACAGTGCCAGGTGTCACCATTAACAGTGCCAGGTGTAACAATTAACAGTGCCAGGTGTCAGAATAAACAATGCCAGGTGTCACCATTAATAGTACCAGGTGTCACAGTAAATAGTACCAGGTGTCACCATTAACAGTGCCAGGTGTCACCATTAACAGTACCAGGTGTCACAATAAACAGTGCCAGGTGGCACCATTAACAGTGCCATGTGTCACAGTAAATAGTACCAGGTGTCACCATAAACAGTGCCAGGTGTCACCATAAACAGTGCCAGGTGGCACCATTAACAGTGCCAGGTGTCACCATTAACTGTACCAGGTGTCACCATAAACAGTACCAGGTGTCACCATAAACAGTGCCAGGTGGCACCATAAACAGTGCCAGGTGGCACCATTAACAGTACCAGGTGTCACCATAAACAGTGCCAGGTGGCACCATTAACAGTGCCAGGTGTCACCATAAACAGTGCCAGGTGGCACCATTAACAGTACCAGGTGTCACCATAAACAGTGCCAGGTGGCACCATTAACAGTGCCAGGTGTCACCATAAACAGTGCCAGGTGGCACCATTAACAGTACCAAGTGTCTCCATAAACAGTGCCAGGTGGCACCATTAACAGTGCCAGGTGGCACCATAAACAGTGCCATGTGGCACCATAAACAGTGCCAGGTGGCACCATTAACAGTACCAGGTGTCACCATAAACAGTGCCAAACGTCAACAGGAATACAAAGCGCCACAATTTAGAATACAGGAAGTGATCCCAAACAATCGATCAACGAGTGACTTGCAAACACAAACAAACTACGGAACATGAACTGTAAACCCCAACTCACTGTAATATAAACATAACCAAAGAAACCAAGAAATAAAAACACAAACTATTGAGATACAAACAAACTCTAACATGCATAAGAAATGTAAATAAAACGGAGTAAAAATGTTAATGCAAAGCGAGATACAGATTTTGCTGTAAGCGTATGTAAAGCTTTTGATGTAAGAATTGAGAGAGCTTGTTATGTAAGCATTGAGGGAGCTTGTTATGTAAGCATTGAGAGAGCTGAAGATGTAAGCATATAGCTTGAAATTGAAGCAAGCCAACAGTACGAGAGAGTACTCACTAGGGTGTGCATGGCTGGGATGCTGGGAGCGGAGTGTGGAGGGCGAGGTGCCAGGGGCTCCTTATATCGGTACACCCACACCTTCAGACACAGGCACGCCTCACACACACACGCTCTTGCTACACTCACAAAAACAAGCACATAATACTAAAAAACAAACACATATATGCAAAATCTTGTACATATTCCACAAAAACATAAACACACAAGCATATACACATATATATGCCTTTGTTAAGCCTAACAGGAGTGACGATTTCTGCATTGCAACTTTGAACCAAGTACAACAACTGAAGGAAATAAATTGCAAGAGGGAGACGCGTGTAAATATGTTACAGCACAGAATAAAAACAGTGGAAGAGGAAGGGAAGACAACAAAGGAAGTGAGTAAAGTAACAGAGGAAAAAAATGAAATAAATAGAGAATGTTACTAAGATTTGAGGAGTAAGACCAGATAAAACCTTTGTTACGGCAGCAAAGGAATCAGAGGGAAAGAAGATAATTAAGAAAACAGTGTTAAGACTGCAAAACTACCCCAAGTCTTCAAATGTACAAGGAAAGAGTTGAAAAGGAAGAGATCAGTAGTAATGTCCAACCTAGCAGAGCCTGAGGTGGGGGGGGGGACACATAGCAAATAAGGAGAGGGAGAGAATGGAAGGAAAAAACAGAAATTCTACACAAAATTTAGGCCAGAAACGCAACAAGAAAAGTAGAGTGTTTCTGTTTCGTTTCTGTAAAGCTAGGTAAGTTTCAGAGAGGAAGAAACAGACCAGTAAAATTTATTTTTATGAACAGCAACCCAGTTAAATACACACTGGTAGAGAAGAGAAATTTAAGAATCAAGGAAAAGTACCATGTAGTGCTTATTGGATAGGACACATCTAAAGAGGAAAGGGAGACAGCAAAGAGAATAAGAGAAGAAAAGCAAATGATAAATGCAAGGAGACCAGAAAATGGTCCAAACAGAGCACAGGATGATGCAAATCTAACAACAAAGAGAGAAGAACCTAGGGAAATAGTGGGCCAGACTTGTTTACCAATGAAACACAGAGTGTTGCAAAGGGAGATAGCAGGGCTTCCCAGCCTAACAAGGAACCTACACAAATGAATAGACAAAAGTGACTAGTCCACCATATCCTATTTCCTCTAATGGATATGAAAACGCAGCCACATGAACAAATATTCCTCCAGGAAAATAAAGGAGCCCAGTTGTCATGAGTACCTTAAAAGTCATGTAAATACAGATGGATTTGCTAATAAAGGCAACTGAGTTACAGGAAAGAGTGGCAGAAGTACAACCGCACAGGGAGCTGACCAACAAGAGTATATACTAGGAATAGTAGCAGTGGAAAGAGTGAAGACAGTGATAGTAGTGATTTTATGATCCCCCATCAAACAGGGAAGGTCTTGAGACGAATACAAAAAATGCAACGATAATTGTCTGAAGGTGATGGAAAACTCAGCCATAGTAGCAAGGGGAACAAGAGCTAAAATCCTAATACTGGGACTTCAACCACATGGAAATAGACTGGAAAAAATAAGTGTCCCCATGGGGGTGATGAGACATGGAGACCAAAACTGGTAGACATAGTAGACAAACAATTCTTAAAGTAACATGTCACAAAACCAACGATCTGAGAGGCGGCGATCTACCAGCAACACTAGATTTCGTGTTTTCCAAAAATTAAGCAGATGTTGAACAAAATGAGTTTGAGATGATTCTCGGAGTTAGCGACCACTGCATTGTTATGCTGGAATACATAATGGAACTGAAGGAAGTGGTTGCACAAAGAAACCCGTTGAAGAAGAAGAGAGATTACAGACGTAGAGACTACAACAGGATGAGGGACTTTCTGCGGGAAATCCAGTGAGGAAAAAGAAATGAAAGGGAAGACAGCAAACGAAATTATGGAATTCATTGCTAGAAAATGTGCCGATGCAACGGATCAGTTCATACCACTCAAGGAAGAGGTGGATGAATAAAGTAAAGTAAACCCTGGTTCAATAGATAATGTAGGGAAGTTAAAAAAAAAGACAAAAAGCCTGGAAAAAGTACATAGAAATGGAAACAGAAACATTTAAAGAGGGACTAAAGAGAATAAGGAATGAATACTCCCGAATTAGGAGAAAATATCAAAGGCTATTTCAAAATTACATTGCTGCAAAAGCTAAGGAACAACCAAAGCTATTTTATAGCCATATAAAGAGATAAGCGACAGTGAGAAACAGTGTACTTAGATTGAGGAAAGAAGGGGGAGCTCTAACAGATAATGATAATGAGGTATGCGAGGAACTCAAAGAAAGATTACAGGAGATCTTTACACTAGAACAAACGTGGAGACCAAGGTTGCAAGATGAAAGGCCAGAAGAAATACTGGATAGCATTGTAGTCATGGTGAAAGAGGGGAAAAGTATCCTGGGTAAACTAGATGGGACAAATCAACGGGGCCAGACCTATTCTCACCATGGCTGCCGAGGTAGGCTGCAGAAGTACTTTGCCGCCCGTTTTCTACATTTTATACGTAACCCCTAAAGACAGGAAGTCTTCCAAATGTCTTGAAAAAAGCAAACGTAGTCCAAATATTAAACACAAATGGAACAGAAAGGAGGCACTAAACTACAGACCATTGTCATTGACAAGTATTCAATGTAAAGTGCTGGAGAAAATAATCAGGTCGAGAACTGTGGAGCATCTGGAGAGGATTGACTTTGTAAAAAAAATCAGCATGGATTGAGAAATGGAAAATCGTGCCTGAATAACATGATTGAGTTTTATGGCAAGCTTACTAAAATAAAACAGGAAAATGAAGGCTGGGCAGATTGTATTATTCCAGACTGTCAAAAGGCATTAGACGCTGTTTCCCACGAAAAGCTGCTTAACAAGATGAAGAACCAGGCTGGGATAACTGGGAAAACACTGGACTGGGTAAGGAAGTATCTGAAGAACTGAAAGCATAGAGGAGGTTTCAAGCTGGATGAATGTAATAAGCGGGGTCCCACATGGGTCTCTCCTGGGACCACTGCTGTTTCTAATTTAAGTGAATGACCTGCCGGAGGGAGTGAGACATGTCAGACATGTCAATGTTTACTGATGATCCGAAGCTGATGAGGAATGTGAAAAGAGATGGGAACTGCAGAAAGTTACAGGATCACCTTAAAAACACCAGGAGTGGTCAGATAATTGGCTGCTGGAGTTCGACCCCAAAATGTGTAAGGTAATGAGGATGGGAAATGGAGAGAGGAGACGAGAAGGCAGCTACACCATACGGGGAAGGCAGCTATAGGAATCAGAAAGAGAGAAGCATCTGGGAGAAGATATAATTCCGATACTCACACCGGAGGCACACACAAACAGGATAACATCGACAGCATATGGGACTCCAGCAAATATAAGAACATCGTTTAGGAATCTGATATCACGACTCATCCAAACCAATGTGCAGAACATTTGTTGACCAAAATTGGAATATGCATCACAGGATTCCGGTATGGAATCCGCACCTTATGAAACATAAAGCCAAAATTGAAAAAGGAATATAAAGAATTAAAGCAATAATAGGTGCAAATCGGAAACTCAAATGAGTCTACGAAACTTAAAGAAATACCCATATTCAGTGCGGGTACATAAACAAATGGAACACGCTTGAATCAGAAATCCTGGAAACCGCCTCGAATTTCAATTTCCAGAGCAGTTATGGCAAAGTATTTTAAAATTATGAAATACGAAGCATCTGGGATACGTTATGAGACAAGGCCCAAGAGCTAGATCTCGTACTTCGTAGACACGAGTAAGTAAACAAATACACTGTAAGTAAACAAATACATTTGTAAACAAATACAAACGAAGGACGCAACATGGCAAGTACAGCTCCCTTCCTGCAAGAACAAATAGTTAATAATAATAAGGAAATTAGGCAATAAATGCAGAATGACGGAGAAACGGAATGGAAAGGAACCATAACATCTACTGAAGAGCACGATATATAACAGCTCTGAGTAACTTAAAAAGTTTTGGCATTGGAAAAGAAGTGCCATGTAGACAGGAAATAGAACATCGTGTGTAAAACCGAGTATCAGGATCTATCCTATTTTAAACTTACATCACAAAACTGACAGAAAAAATGACTTTTAATATATTTATGTGTATTCCGTGTTGATTATTTTCTTGTTTAGGCAAGATTAAGGATTCTGTGCCTCTAACTAGTGTTCTGGCATCTTGGTTTAACTTAGCATCTTGGTTGAACAAGAATGTAAGAACTTTTGTATATATATATATAAATAAATCTATAAAATAAAAATGGAAATGTTCGTTTGTTCAAAATCGCTAATCTCCGAAAGTTCTTCACCGATTGCTTTGAAATGTTCACACAACGTTCCATTCGCATCCGAGCGGTTTTTTATATACATACTATATAGCTATGACGAGAAAAAAACATTTTTTTTTAATCTGTGTTTTTCATGTGAGTGAAATCTTCTAAACTTCTTTACCGATTGCTTTGAAAATTTGACACAACGTTGCATTCAAATAGGCGCGTGTTTATATATATATATATATATATATATATATATATATATATATATATATATATATATATATATATATATATATATATATATATATATATATATATATATATATATATATATATATATATATATATATATATATATATATATATATATATATATATATATATATATATATATATATATATATATATATATATATATATATATATATATATATATATATATATATATATATATATATATATATATATATATATATATATATATATATATATATATATATATATATATACTATATACATGCCTCACCTGTGACAGGAAAATACAGGCTTTTTTTGAAAAACAGCGCCATCTGTTGGACGTAAGAGCAACACACGCTGTAATCTCCTAAAGTTCGTCACCGATTGCTTTGAAAATTTGACACAACGTTCCATTCGAATACGCACATCCTTTTATATACCTACTATATAGATGCAACACCTGCGACAGATAAAAACA